TATCGGCCGCACCACAAGAAGGCTTTGGGACTGCTTCAGGGAACATGTTAATAATATTAAAAAAGGGTTTTAAAGACCAATCTCTTTCAAGACACTTTAGATACCACCATCAGAGAGATACATCCCATTTAAAATTTTTGGGCATTGACTTCGTTCAGAGCCATTGGAGGGGTAATAATAAGAAAAGGCTGGTCTCACAGATGGAGACCCGATGGATATATAACATGAAGACCTTGACCCCCTCCAGCCTGAACATCGAAATAGATATCAACTGCTTCATATTGGCGCCCGCCCTTATTCGCGCATGCGCATTACGGATGACCACGATCGCGGATACTGAGCCCTCACAGAACTCAGTCATCCACTATATAACCACCATATCAAGCCTTGTTGATGTATGGGCACTATCCTAGGGTGACCAACTCAACCATTGGGCCGGTGCACACTTCTATGAGCTGTCAGCTGCTCAGTGCTTGAGAGGGCTACAAGAAAATGGCGCCCAAACTTTCTGCACATGCTCAGTTCATGCCAGTCACCGGCAAAATGGCGCTCGCTCGTTTTTAGTGCCAAACACTTCTATAAATAGCGCAGCACAGACGTCCAGGCTGCTTTGGCATCACCCCTTTTGAGAATGCACTTTGTGTGCATTAAGGAGGAGCCACACACGCCTGAGACGTCACGCCACCGGATCAAGGAGGTCCGGTGGCCTCCATAACTATCCAGCTGGTTAGTGTTTTTGAACAGTTTTAAACAGTTTTGCTGTATGCCTTACATATACTTTACTGGTGAAGGCCTCCAAGTTCTTTTTATGTATGTTCACTACTCTGAATTATTAATAAAAATCTGAGATTTTGATCTACTACACTATGGCCACTATTCTGTGCTCCACGTCGAGCATTTAATCCCCCAGGACCCAATGGTGACTACCCTGAGACCCAGAGGAGAGTGACTCATTTGTGCTGACCCCCCACCGCAGCCTTCACCAGTAAAGAAGACCTCTAAAGGCGCCATTATTGTGAGAGCCTGCCCAGTGTGAGCTGCACCTTCCATAGGACAAAAGGGGACCTCTGACTTATATTGATGCGCTTTCAGATCGCACATCTGGTGGGTGCGCATTTCTTATATTTCCTGCACGGTATCTAGTGAGTGCCTCACTGGGAGTAACAAAGTCACCGCTTTATCCATTTGTTGTTATTATTGGACATTTTTTCTTTGGACTTCATACGGTTCTATTTGAGGTTGTAGTCAGCCTCAGATCCATTATAGACATATTGTTCATTAGCGCTGCACTTTTTAATACAAAGAGAACAGGATAATTTTTCATGCAAATGCAAGGTAGATCCGGAATAGGAAATGTTGGGTTTACATACTCTTTAATCCAGGAGGAAAACAGGAAAGGCAGTTATACTTTACCTTATGCCTCACTCCCACAGTCTTTCTCACAGCTGTACACCCAGTCCCCTTGAAGCTGCTTTTCTTCGACACTTTGTGAGTCACAGGCACTGTGGCATCATTGCAAACAATGGAGGGACGAGGAGCCGGAGAACCTTGAAGGCCTGCCCACAACCTGGAACATCGAACAACACTTGCTGCCAGGGGAGGAAAGGCTAAGGTAAGTATACCTGCTTTTTCTGTTCCCCCTTGACAAAAAACTAGCATATAACCCTTGCAGTCCAGAAGGCAGGAGAGCCACACTGCAAGGGTCATTTTTTTTTATTTTACTGGGAGTTGATCTTTAAGGTAAACACAACACAGCCACAACCCAAACTAAGTAGTTAATGAGAACTCCTTGTGGTTTCCCTTTAATTGTGCGAGTATGTGTCATGTTGCATGTGTGATTTCCGTATAAATTGGCTGTTTATTTGCTTTCAAAAGAAACCTAAAAAAAATCAGTTGACGTCACAGCACTACTGTGTTAATCACAATGCAGGAGCATTGTGTTAGAGTGCTCAGCTATGGAGTGCTCTTATTCATAAGAAACAGCTGTGGTCCAGCGCTAAGCCTAGAGGATAACTTGATCAGCTTCTGGGCTTTGTACTGGACTGTAACTGGTACTGATAGCTGGTGGTGCCAACACTGATTTGTAACTTGGACCTGCTGCGAGCAAGTGCCATTTTAAAAATGCACTGGAACAAATAACTGCTAAACCTGCATCATTCTTGAACCGCACCTGGGACTCTAACAGTTAAAAAAAAAAAAAAAAAAGTCCACTGTGTTTAAATAAATATATCTCTATAATTGCTATTCAAGCTAATTCAGTTCTGTATAAAATTTTCATTGCAAATCAGTCTGCCATACGACTTACAAATCACAGCCTATTGTCCGCAATTAGAGCGGTCATATAAATGCAGTTCCAACTTGGTCAGAGCTGTACCGATTTTCTAAAGTAGTACATGCACTACTTTTGGTGCGATTTGCATAGACATCTGTGTCAGATGTCTTGCAATCGCACCTGAATTCGGCCTGTCATCCGATTTTGAAATCGTGCGACTTACAGTAAAGTAGGGTTTGATGTGACCGGGGTGTAAAGGTGTCAAAATTGCAAGGAAGCAACATTTGCAAACAAGAGGATACAATGTGTGGAACACACTAGGAGGTTTCTGAAGAGTACAGTTTTAAGCTTCCACAACAAAGCTGTGAGCTTTTCATCTCTGGTGATGAGAGACAGACTCTCTACCACTCAGTTTAGGAAACAATAGGATGTTTCATAATCCATTTCTTTTCTGACCCGGAGAGGATTGTTAATTTATATAGTTTTAAAAACCACTTCAGCTCCAGGGACGTACCAATATGTTGCTGGAGTTTGAACCACCAGCTGCAGGCATCCCATTACCGTTTTTTAAAGTCAACGGTTACTTCTCTTGTATTAGCAGTCAGCGCAGTTTACTAGCCACGCGAATGGTTTCTTCACAGTGAGAGATGTGGAATAGACTCCCTCAAGAGTTGGTTCTGGCCAGCTCAGTGGATTGCTTTAGAAAAAGGCCTGGATTATTTCATAGATACACAGAATACAACTGGATGCTAACATTTATAGGTAAAGTTGATCCAGGGAATATCCGATTGCCTCTCAGGGGGATCAGGAAGGAATTTTTTCCCCTGCAGGAACAAATTGGATCATGCTTTGCTGGGCTTTTTTGCCTTCCTCTTGATGAACTGTGGGTGTAGGATTATAACTTTTTTTTTTTTTTTTTAATGGTTGAACTGGATGGACTTTTTTTGTCTTTTTTGAGCCAGACTTAGGCTACGTTCACACTAGCCTTGTGTGCAGGCGGCAGAGAGGCGTTTGGGAAGCGTTTTTACCGCTTCCAAAATGCCTCTGCCAATTCTGCACATTACAGCACATGGTGCTATTCTAACGGGAGCGTTTGCGTCGCGTTGCGTCGCGGCAAAACGGACGCCTCTGGACGAGTCAGGAGGCTTTGAAGCCTCCTATTCTCGTCTATGGTGCCGCTCCGCAAACGCCCGGCCCGCGTTTGCGGTGCGGTTGCGACGCGGTTGCGGGGCGTTTGCGGAGCGGTAACACCACTCAAACTGCATTATAGGCGTTTGTGGGGCGTTATTAACGCTCGGCAAACGCCTAGCAACCGCCGCTAAACCGCGCATGCGGCGTTTGCGGAGCGTTAAAAAAAAACGCTCCGCAAACACCGGACCAACGCTTGCCAAACGCTATAGGGGCGTTTGGCAAGCGTTGGCAAAACAGCCTAGTGTGAACGAGCCCTAATAGTGAATGCTTGTAATAGCATTCATAGCTACATAGTTAAAGCGTTTGTAAAAAAATTAATTAATAATCGCAAAAAAATTTAGTTCAAGCCCCCCTGCCACCCTGTGCTTGTGTGCAATGTTAAAAGCATGTGTCGGTCCTGTACACACGCAAACAGATATCATCCCACACATGTGAAGTATCTCCGTGAATGGCAGATCATGCGCAGTCATTCTAGCACCAGACCTCCTCTGTATATCTAATGAGGTAACCTATAAACACTTTTAAAGCATCACCTATGGATAGTAATATTTACGTTGTTTTGTCGTTGGTGCATGGGCTTGTGCAGTTTTAAAACGTGACATGTTTGTTCTCTATTTACTCGGCATAACATCATCTTTTATATATTACAAAAAATTGGGTTATGCATTGTATTTTTTTTGCATTAAAGTTGTTTAATAAATGTATTTTTTTCCCAAAAAAATTGCATTTGAAAACCGCTACTCAAATACCATGTGACAATAAAAAAAAATTGCAAAACCCACCAACTTATTCTCTCGGGTCTCTAATATATAATGTTTGGGGGTTCTAAGAAATTTTCTAAAAAAATACTAATTGTTATGTAAACAAAAGTTCCAGAAAAGGCCTGGTATTCAAGTGGTTGAAGAGTAGTTTCACTTTAACAACCCCCCACCCCCAAATAAAAAATGTGTAAAAAAGATTATCAAAGCAAATGACAGCTTCTTGTTACTACACTTTTATTAAAAAAAACTTTTTTATTTTTAACCCTTGATTTAACCACATGCCTACAGGGCACTTATACCCCCTTCCTGCCCAGGCCAATTTCCAGCTTTCAGCACTGTTGCAACACTGTACCCATATGAACTTTTTATCATTTTTTTTGTGACAGAGCTTTATTTTGGTGGTATTTAATCACCTCTGGGTTTTTTATTTTTTCTTTAAACCAAAAACCACTGAGAATTTTGAAAAAAAAAAAAGTTTTCTTAGTTTTTGTTATAAAATTTTGTAAATAAGTGATTTTTCTCCTTCACTGATGTGCGCTAATGAGGCTGCAGTGATGGGTACTGATAGGCTGCACTGATGGACACTGATAGCTGGCACTGACGAGGTACTGGTAGGTGGCACTGATGGGCATTGACAGGCATCACTGATGGGCACTGAAAGACAGCACTCATATATGGCACTGTTAGGCGGCACTGAATGGCACTGTTAGGTGGCACCGATAGGCAGCACTGATGGGCACTGAAAGGCAGCACTCATATATGGCACTGATAGGTGGCACTGAATGGCACTGTTAGGTGGCACTGATAGGCAGCACTGATAAGTGGCACTGACTGGCATTGATAGGTGACACTGACTGGCACTGATGGGGTGACACTGAAAGGCAGCTCAGATGGGCACTATGTGGCACTGATGGGCACTGAAAAGTGGCACTGATGGGCACTGGCAGGTGGCATGGATGAGCACTGAGAGCTGGCACTGATGGACACTGACAGGTGGCGCTGCTGGGGCTACACAGATCATCAGGGCATACATAGTGCTCTGATGATCTGTGTACATGTCCCCTCTGAAGAATGCAGATTTACCGGCTCTCCTCTCCTCACAAGTTGTCAGCGTGACAGCTCGTGAGGAGAGAAATGCCAATAACTGGCATTTCCCTGTTTACATGTAATCAGCTGTGATTGGACACAGCTGATCACATGACCGAGCTGACATCTTCAGCTCTTTTCCGTGGATCGGTGATCCGCTGTGTCCGAGGGACACAGCGCACCGCCGATCGCCGCGCTGCGTGCTCCGGGAGCCGCGCATGTGCGGTTAGAATGAGAGAACCGCCTTGCGTCCGTCATATTACTATATGGCGGGCAGGAGGTGGTTAAGTTATCACATTGCCAGCACAGGTATGTAAATAGTATAGAGTACAACACATTTCAAAAACTTTACAATTAGGAGAAATACAGAGCTGCACAAACAATATCAGGTATGAGCTTAACCTAGACTCGATATACACAATTTCCAACAGTGTGTCAAAACTTTAAGTGCAAGACCTACAACATGAGTAAAATATTTGCTAACTAATAAATGAGGTAGGGTGGCTTACTGAGCAACACGACAATGGGGGTAGAGATTGGCTATGAACAACCCACGATGAAGTAGGACTGAGGAGTTAGATAGAGGTGGAGGGGTGCATGGAGGATGAACAATAACAGGATATGGGCCAAAAAGTTAGAGAGGTGACAAAGGGGCTAAGGGGGTAAAGTCAGTTGCTACAGTAGATACCAGCCAACATTTGGCCTGTGTGTACAGGTCCTTGTTTGACAGATGCCGATCTCACGACCAGCTTCTGTCCAACGAGCATGCTGGAAAACAAGCAGCCGATTGCCATCCGATCAGCGAATAGTTAGTACAGGCTGAATGCAAAAAAACTTACCATGTGTACCAGGCTTAACAGACAAGAGCTTTTGCTGCTTCCCAAGAAGCCCCAGGTGGGAAAAAAGTTTAATGCTGCCTGAGATCCTGATGATCATATATGGATGTTTGCAAACTTTACAGTCATGTTCCCGTGACCTTTATGTTGAGGGGATTGAGTCTCACTTTTAAGTATGTATCTGTAAAGTGTGAAGATGTGAAGTAGTTTTTAAGGTAAAACCAAATTTCTTTAATGTCACGTGGAACTGGAGTCAAATGTCAGTTCCTAAAAGTGTATTTTAAAAAATCATTTTTCTGTGTAAAGAAGGTGGTTTGGGGTTCTGTGCATGCAGGTTCCAGAGTATTTAGTGCAATAAATTTAGCCCTGATTGTAGAAAAAAAAAATAAAACTTCATGTGACTTTTAATTATCCAATCTTCTAGTGGGCGATGGTAGATTTGGCTATCCTCAGGAAGGTCCATATGATGCAATTCATGTAGGTGCAGCAGCTGCCAAGATACCACAGGCGGTAAGTATAAAAAGATTGTCATGTGTAATTGATAATGAATTGTGTCTGTAGAGCATAATGCTCTATATTTTGTCTTTTTAACCTTGAGCATCAAAATATTTCCTCCTGGAAACCTGAAACTGTAGATGGCAGCAGAAACATTACATGTGAGCAAGGCTTTATAAGTATGGAGCTGAACATAGCCCTTCAAATATATTCCAGAACAGCCCTAACTAAAAAATTTCACGTTAGTACTTATATTTCCCACCCTATATTTTTGCAGAATAGTGCTTTCCTCAACAGTATCAATGTATTTTAACCTTCCTCCTCATTAAGTGTAGCTCCTGCCAAACAGTTCATTTTATTCATACAGTACAGGACTATGCATATCTCTTCTACAATAAAGAGCCTGCCTGCTTTGACTTGAAGACCTTAGTTCTTCTTTAACTCTTTCCTATTCCAGGTATGCTTCGAATGATAACTGTTACAGTTACTAGTGTGCTTATATTTTATCCTGTCAAGCCATCAAACTTCTGGTGTCCATAGATGATCACATGGGCAGCTGCAGATCAGAGGTTGGGATGGCAGCTTCCTTGGCTGTAAAGTAGGGCTTAGTTCCACTTTAAAGGATAAGTTTACCTTTTAAAAAAAGTAAATAAATAAATGCACATCTTTTTGTAGGTAATAAAAATGTGCATTTATTATTTTTTTGTACTTGGAGCCTGTAAAGCATTGCATCCATGAGATTCATCAAATTACAGGTGTCATGCAGGACTCCTGCAGACTGCCAGTGTATCTGTCTGCTCGTACCTCATGTAAGCAGGCAGTTTCACACTGACAGGAAGAGACAATTGACTACCAGAGCGTTCAACAGCGCCATGGTAGTTCATTGAGAGCTATAAGCCAACTACCATAAAGGCTGTCAGTACTGTGAATAAATGACACGGTGGGACGGGTGGAGCCCTGCACAGCCGCGTTATTTTATTTTTTTTTATAAATCGTGACAGCGAGCAGGGGAAGAAGATTCCCTGCTAGCTGTCAGTAGAGGCAGCAAAGCGGGCAGTGGCTGCAGGGGTGGGGACATGTTACATGCTCCACCCATTTCTAGGGTGGAATATGTAACATGTTCCCAAAGGTGAATTTATCCTTTAATCTCATGCATATACAGTGCCTTGAAAAAGTATTCATAACCCTTGAAATTTTCCACATTTTGTCACGTTACAATCAAAAACCTAAATGTGTTTTATTGGGATTTTATGTGATAGACCAACACAAAGTGGCACATATTTGTGAAGTGGAATGAAAAAGATAAATGTTTTTCAAAGTGTTTTAAAAATAAATATCTGAAAAGTGTGGCGTGCATTTGTATTCAGATCCCTTTACTCTGATACACCTTACTAAAATCTAGTGAAACCAGTTGCCTTCAGAAGTCACCTAATGAGTAAATAGAGTCCTCCTGTGTGTAATTTAATCTCAGTATAAATACAGCTGTTCTGTGAACCCCTCAGAGGTTTGTTAGAGAACATTCGTGAAGAAACAGCATCATGAAGGCCAAGGAACACACCAGACAGAGGTCAGAGGTAAAGTTGTGCAGACGTTTAAAGCAGGGTTCGGTTATAAAAAAAAAAAATACCCCAAGCTTTGAACATCTCACAGAGCACTGTTCAATCCATCATCCAAAAATGGAAAGAGTATGGCATAACTGCAAACCTACCAAGACAAGGCCGTCCACCTAAACTGACAAGCCGGTCAAGGAGAGCATTAATCAGAGAAGCAGCCAAGAGGCCCATGGTAACTCTGGAGGAGCTGCAGAGATGCACAGCTCAGGTGGGAGAATCTGTCCACAGGGCAACTATTAGTCATGCATTCCACAAATCTGGCCTTTATGGAAGAGTGGCAAGAAGAAAGCCATTGTTGAAAGAAAGCTATAAGAAATCCCGTTTTCAGTTTGTGAGAAACCATATGGGGGACACAGCAAACATGTGGAAGAAGGTGCTCTGGTCAGATGAGACCAAAATGGAACTTTTGGCCTAAAAGCAAAATACTATGTGTGGCAGAAAACTAACACTGCACATCACCCTGAACACACTATACCCACCGTGAAACAAGGGAAGCTGGTCAGAGTTGATGGGAAGATGGATGGAGCCAAATACAGGGCAATCTTAGAAGAAAACTGTTGGAGTCTGCAAAAGACTTGGAGGTTCACCTTCCAGCAGGACAATGACCCTAAATATACAGCCAGAACTACAATGGAATGGTTTAGATCAAAGCATATTCATGTGTTAGAATGACCCAGTCAAAGTCCAGACCTAAATTCAATTGAGAATCTGTGGCAATACTTGAAACTTGCTATTCACAGACACTCTCCATCCAATTTGACAGAGCTTGAGCTATTTTGCAAAGAAGAATGGGCAAAATTGTCCCTCTCTAGATATGCAAAGCTGTTAGAGACATCCCCAAAAAGACTTTCAGTTGTTATTGCAAGGAAAGGTGGTTCTACAAAGTATTGACTCGGGGGGCTGAATACAAATGCATGCCACACTTTTCAGATATTTATTTGTAATAACTTTTAAAAAATATTTATCATTTTCTTTCCACTTCACAATTATGTGCCACTTTGTGTTGGTTGATCATATAGAATCCCAATAAAATACATTTTATGTTTTTGGTTGACAAAATGTGGAAAATTTCAAAGGGTATGAATACTTTTTCAAGGCACTGTATAGGCAAATAGAAAATATTTTGAAACATTATGAATCAGCAACTGCAGAGGGTGAACATCTATACAGAATTTATACAGTATTATAGAGACTTTTTTGCTGTAGCCATCAAGCAAAGCATCGTAGCTGTGGCATGTGTACATCCCTAAGCGGCTGCATGTCCTTCTCTAGGTGGCTGGCTGGGGAGCGGTACAACTGCATCCATGCTCCAGTTTTTACCGCCACCTGTATGAATGAGCCCCTAGAAATGTGTATGTCCTGGTTATGTAAAACAAAAGAAGGCGGCTGCTGCTACACACTTGCCCAAAGTAAGTTAGGTATCAAAATTACAGACTATTCTGTAGTAATATTTTTTTCACTTGCAGTACATAACTTTCGTTTTTATGTTTGGTAGCTGCTGAACGAGTTGAAGCCAGGAGGAAGATTGGTCTTACCTGTGGGTCCAGAAGGTGGAAGTCAGCATCTGGAACAGTATGACAAGGATAGTGATGGGAACATCACAAGAGTTCGCTTAATGGGTGTGATGTATGTTCCTCTAACAGACAAAAAGAGACAATGGCCGCTGTAAGAGATTTTATATACATTTCTACAAACATACAATGCAGTAACTTTAAGCAGAAATCATCATCATTGTTCTGATAGATCCTAACTGGCAAAAGCTGAACTTTGTTTGACATTTCTAAATCTTTATTATTGCTTCTTTGCACTTGTTAAATAAAAGAGGGGAGAAAAAAAAAAATATATAAATTATATATATTTATGTTCAGTATTTGCAAAACAATATTATGCTTGCACTATTTCTGAAGAAATATCTTTCAGCTTTTCTGAACTGAGAATTAAAAGAGTTTACTTTTTTATCTTGCTGAGTTTTCATTCATTCTCCAAGGGACACGTTTCCAAAGCACTACAATATGATTCGTCTACGTTCTATAATTACATGCCCTGACTCTTTTGCAGATTATACATGATTCATAGACCAGATATTAGGAAAAACACTTTTGCTTACACTTGTATTCTAGGTGTCATTCCTCCAGTGCAGATTCACCTAATGAAAGTTAAAGTCTAAGGCAGGCCATAAATGATGCGATTCCTTTTGCTCTTTTGCCTAGATCTCTGGGTGAACACTTTTGGCCTTTCAGGTGTAGAGAACCGGCTGTTGTCTACATCTAAAGTGCCACAAGTGTTCACCCAGAGATATAGGCAGTTCTGTCACCCTTGAATTGATTTGATGAGCCTGTAACCTGTTTTTAACATGTGAGTTGCCTAACCTCTTTTACTGATATTAAATATCCCATGAAGTCTACATGTCAGGAATGGACTTGCCAGTAATGGTGGGACTCACCTGCCTTGTGGGCTGCAGTACCAGGGCTGGCCAGCGGGTGCTCTCAGCAATCAGAGACTCAACCCTGCAGTCAGCCAAACACCTGAAGCTGATTACGGAGGTGTATTTAAGGGATGGCCAGACCTGCAGTCTGGGCCTTGGTGTGTGTTTTTCTATGGGCCCCTGTATCTTGTTACCTGCGTTCCTGTTCCTGCCTGACTGACTCGTTGCCGACCCTGCCTGATCCTGACCTCTGCTGACTTCTCCTGTTTGATCCCTGGCTTGTGACCCCGACCATTCTCTGCCTGACCCCCTGTACCTACCTGCCCGTTAGTTGCTGTACCCGGCTCGTGACCTGACTACTCTCTGCCTGCTCCTCCTGTTCCTACCTGCCCGATTGTTATTGACCCGGCCTGCCTGACTACACTTGCATTGTATGTATTGTTATCTGTGGGTGGTTTGGTTTGGTTCGTTTACACTTTGTTTATGTTTTAGTATTGCACTGTGTTTTGTATTGTTAGTATTAATAAATTTATATTGTTTATAACTTATCTGAAGCCTGCATTTCCCTGCGTCAGTTCACATACCTCTGGTCATACTCGGAGCCCTGACACTACACTTCAGGCGCTGTGTTTTCTCTTCTTTGTTACCAGATTCTGAGTGCTTCAGCTTTAGTAAATCTCCCCCACAGTCCCAGCTGGGGGAATTCCTTCATTCATTTTGTTTATGTGGATGGAGACGTCTGTGGTGTTGATTTACTAAAACTGGAGCGTGCAATGGTAGCCAATCAGCTTCTAACTTCAGCTTGTTCAGTTAAGCTTTGACAAAAAAACTGGAAGCTGATTTGTTTCTATGCAGAAGCTGCACCAGATTTTGCAGATCGCTGGTTTTAGTAAAGCAATCCCTGTATAGCCAATTATAGGTGAAATGAGTTTGTATTTAGCTAGTGGCAGTCGGTAACATTCATCTGTGCTATTGAAGATATTTTGTAGCTTCTCTAAGCCAGCAGCTATGAAATGTCTTCAACATTACAGAGCAAGTCCAGCTAAATGTGACTAACTGCCACTAGCTATACCATGACCTATAAAATTTCTAGCTTGCATGGGTTTATTCCAAAAAGATATAGTTAAATTGGCTCTAAAGACTCAATGTTTTTTTTTATCTTTATGTATTCTATGCATGAAGGTAAAAAAAAACCTTCTGTGTGCAGCAGCCCCAGCTACCCCTAATACTTACCTGAGCCCCATCGCATTCTGCACGAGAGCCTCGGTTGTCCGGAGACTGTCCGTCCTCATTGGCTGAGATAGCATTGGGAGCCATTGGCTCCTGCTGCTGTCAATCATAGCCAGAGAGCCAATGAGAGAGGGCATGAAAGCAGAGCCACAGTGGTGTGTGAATGGACACACAGAGCAGCGGCACAGGAGCGAGCCTGCTTTGGTGCCCCCATAGCAAGCTGCTTGCTCTGGGGGCACCCAGTGGGAAGGGGAGGGCCAGGAGCGCCGATGGGGGACCTGAGAAGAGGAGGATTGGGCTGCTCTGAGCAAAATCACGGCACAGAGCAGGTAAGTATAACTTTTGGTTTTGTTTTGTCTTTTTTAAGAATTGCCTTTTAATATCACTTTAAGCTTGGTATTTAGTTTCATGTGTGCATTACACTGAAGAGTATGACGAATTGTAAGCGCTTTCTGAGCAAAACATGGGATTTTGTTCTATTTAAATATGTAATATATTGTCACAAGATCAATGCAGGAAATGAACAATCCTTTTTGTAAAGTTATACATTTAAGTTGGTAGTTATCTTAAATATGTTTTTTTCCTTCTTCTATAGGAATGAGCTGTGAAAATTGCTTGGTGACCTTCAGGATAACAAGTTGATGAAAAGAGTAGTTTTCACATTTTGGAGATGGTAAAAAGATATGTCTCAGGAGGCAACACTAAAGTCCTTGCTAAGAAACACAGCAGGGTCAAAGATTATGCAGGGCTGCACAATTTCCACATCTAGAAATCTGTCTATTCAGGGGATGCACCCAATAAACTGAAAAGTGTAATAATTAAATAATTCAGCAAATGAAAACATTTAAAAATAGAAATAACCCTTTTTGTTTTTAAATCTTAAAAATGGCTTCCCAAGCAGAGGTGGTCCTCTTGAGTAAACTGTGTACATTTGTATAAAATAATAGCATGGGTAATTTACATGCAAACTATAAATGAATCATAAATATGCTGCAACAGTTTTATATAACGTATAGGTCTCTATGACACAAAGGCGTCTTCCATTTTCAGAATGTCAGCAATGATAGTCTTTCTGCTCTTTTTCTAAGTTCATATTTTCTTAAAATAATGTTAATATCTAGTTACTGATGAAACCTGTATCCAAATAAATGCAACATTTTCTGGCTTGTTTAAAAGACCTTCCAACAGATGTTTGAAATGAGTTTAGCATTGCAGGTAACTGGGGTCTTAAAGGCAGATGTGTACAGACTATGTGTATATAGCTTGTGATCTCATAAGATCTCAGGGGTTTTTAGGATCCATAGAATACTATATATAAGCAGCAATGTATTAAAGTATATGTGAATCCTCACCTTGTAAAGCAACATTTTCCGTTTAAAATAGAAATAAAAAGCAAAACATCTGTGTATACATATAAAAAAAACATTATGAATACTTTTTTTTTTTTTTTTTTAATTCTTTTATTATAAGTGATCACATACCCTATGTTCTCAGCTGCATAAGGTGTTCAGAGAGCTAGGGGAGGAGAAACAGCTGTACATTGGTCTTCCTGGTGAATGGCTGTGCAGCAGGGGTGTGTCAGCACATGCCTGATCATTGGAGGAGAGCAGGCTGATTTCCCAGCACACAGCCAGAAAACGGACTACGCTGTACTCTCATACCTAACCATTGTAGATGAGCAGACTGGGTTCTCAGCACAGCTAGAGAACTGATAACGCTTTGCTCTCATTCCTAGTGTGGTCAATATGAACACAGCGATTTCACACAAAGGGAATACTAAGAGAGCAGGATACATTTTACATGGTACAGCAAGTACATATCAGGAATATTAAATGTTGGGGTAACATATTCTTTAAGAACAACATCTTTTGGGGTCTATTAAGAAAAACATAGTTTGCAAAATGATTGGTGTCATATATTTACAATAATTAAGAACCACCATGTCACCTTGCCTATAAAGTTATGGTATGCCAAAGAGCCTTCGATATGAAATTCTGCTGCTTACGTAATTCCATTCTGCTTGTCACTGCATCAAATAGTTTTTCCAAGAAAAGCGATGCACCTGACATGCACATTAAAGAGACAGAGTTTGGACATGTGCTGAGCTCTTAAGTGCATTGTGCAGATGCAAGTATGGGTATTGAACCTTTCTCACTCAATCAGCTCTATTCAATAAAGTTTCTTTAGTACTCTCTGCATTTCTAATCTGTATAGCAATTAAAATTTTCACAATTTCTTGAAATCATTTTGTGATCTGCTCCTGTTCCAAGGTCTAAAGGTGCTTTTCATTTATCCTCCTAGTTACCAAGCAACTCCTTATTACCTAGCAACTATGTTTTGTTTTGTTTTTTTTGTTAAGTGACAGTCAAGTCTTAGCTTGACTGCTGCGTTATGGGTTTGTGGGGCTCCACACTGAAGCTAACGGCCGTGCATTGCAGGACCTTTCAACACCTCGAGTATAATACTGGTCACACACATTACAGTCTACTTGGACAGTTCTTTCTAGACATATTAACTCTTTCCCATGAAATGCCAATCTCACAAGTTACAATCTAACTGAACGATTTCCTAAATTTGCCTATAACTGTGTAGTGTGAGAGTCTACCTGATTGGATATAAGGTCCTCTCAATGCATAGTTTTGGCAAATCTAAAGGGGTTGGTACATTGGGGTTGATTTACTAAAGGCAAATAGTCTGTGCCCTGCAATGCAGTTGTTCTAGGTCTGAGGGGAAGCTCTGCTGATCTCAATCATCCAATTAAGCTGTGGAGCAACTGCCCTTCCTGGGCGCAGTATATAGTATTTGTCTTTAGTAAATCAACCCAAATGTGTGCTGCAAGCATCAGTACTCCATCACTGCTGATATCAGTGAAAAAAAAAAAGGGGAGGGGGAAAATCCTAAAACTTTGCACACATGCAATAAGATGGTACAGTTTTCTGTAGATATGCATAGAGTGCAAATCTAAAGGCAACTGTACAGATTGTAAGTTATTTGGCTAGCTTAAAGCGATTCTAAAGGTTCCT